CGTCGTCCGAGTAGGTCCCAGATGTGGCGACCGTCGATGGCTGATTGGTTGAGCTAGGGCCAAGTCGAGCCTCGCGCAGTTTACGCAAACTGTCTTCCATCTTTTTCACGGAACTCAACAGTTCGTGTAGTTGGCCCTGATAGCTGAAAAGAAAAAATCGGCAAGAATATGCCAGCGTTTTGGAACGGAGGTGGGAAACTAGAAAGACTCTTTATCTGATACTTGCTACACAACCTCATGTAGATAATGGATAAAGTTCAGTATAGTCAGAATTAACTTTGTGCACTCAAGTGGGTGAATTTTCAGCTTACGAAAATGCCGTCTCAGGCGTTGAAAAGTTTCTATCTCAAATTATATGTATATAACTTATTATTAACTAGGAAAGAATGCTAGAATCCGATCAAATTTAACTTGACAAAAAGCGTCGCCTAGATGTTATCTGTCGTTTTTAATGCGGAGCTTTAGGAAATCTAGAATAACGCAAATGAAGCGTATGAGACCCGGTGACGAATGGTACTTACGCTTCAGACAACTGAGTGACTGCGCGATTGATTAATTGTTCCAATGCTGGCTTCGCACAGGAAGCGGCGATCACTGCGGTCCGGCAAAGATCTCCCAGTTCGGACAGTGGATCGATCATAGCTGACACGTATGTTGAAGATGTGGTGGGCAAACTGCGGTTTGTGCGTCGGTATTGACGTGGCACATCGAGGATCTGACGGCTGAAGTTTAGACACGAGCGCTGAATCGGGAAAATAGAGTTGGTTACAGGTAATGAGGTTGTTGTGACGCGAGTAAGAGTGGCGAATCAAACAGGTAGTGGGACTTACCAGTAATTGGTCTACAATCAAACTCTGCAGGGGATTAATTGTCTGATGAATGCGTTCACAGACTTCCTCCAAACACTCGGTGAGCCAAGTAGGAAATGAGCTTGGACTCTCATTTGCGGCTGCTGTATCTAATGTGCCTAGTTTGGAAGAGATATGTGCCGGTAACGCAACGCGCACATAGGCAATCAGTTGGAAACAGTCCACCAATAAAAACAGGAGAGGTTTTAGGTTGCTGGTCGACGGAGTTGAGGTTGTTTGAGGCTGAGTAAAAAAGGAGAGAGAGTTCATCCATAATAGACCCACACAGCATATTTGTTGAAATATCCCCAATGATCATTGAAAAGACCAGTGAAGCGGATAATTCTTTTCGATTATTCATTCTCAAGCTTCTAAATTAATATACGTTTACAAGGAAGCAACAAAAGTCATGATTCATAAAATAAAACGGGGTGGGGGTGAATGGTTGCAGAGTTGTTATCACTTGATTTAGCTGATTGCGTAACACGATCATTCAGTCATCGTTTGATTATCAGAACACCGGTCAATTACGTTATATCGTCGGGACATGGCAAACTCAATATGTGAACAATCCGCTTTTGTTTGCACACTTCGGAGTGGTGGATACGAATAGCTACCGCCTCGACCGTACAAGGCATAATTTGCCTTGGGCAGATTCATCGGGGTTCTGTAGATGACCTTTCGACGTCTACCGCATGCCCCGTGTTGATAGGATGCTCCACAATTGAGGTACGAATGGCCTTTGATAATCCTTGTCTCAACCAGGTCGTATGATGCTCTTGAATCCGTTTAGTCAACTGCTGACCGATGTAGACGGCTCCACAAAAGCACATGAATTGATACACACAGAAATGGTTGACAGTGGCGGTCGATCCTTAGGTCTCTAAGCAATAGCTGGATAGGATGATTAGATTATTTTCAGTTCAGCGGCGTAAAATAGCATTGTATAGTTTGTTCAGCCTATCATGTATATCGTATTTCTACGCATGCGGTGAGGTTCTACGGACTAGTTGTTATCCCAACTTCTTTTCAAAAACAAATGCTCGAGATGCATTCTGGACCGCGATATCATTTTAGCGAAGCGAATTATCTTGAAAAATCACTGACTGCGAAACGATTGCACTGCAACCAAATGTTTCTGCGGCTTCTGATTGCTGCCATTTCGGATTGACGATTGTCAACAGCGCTAATTATGGTGTTTCGCTAAGTACCTCGGCCGTGTTGAAAGGGTCAATGGGATAGTGCGCAACCTGCATGAGCAAATATATTTAAATTAACGACGGATACTTATATAACTGCAGATAAAAAAGATGGATTAATACGAAATTGGATCTTTCCCTGTTGCTTATTCACCTTTCACGTTGTAGTTAGATTTAAAATAAGTTTCCACAACCAAACGGGGAAAGTTAGGGAAGTTGATGTCAACCAAGTAGAGCTAAACTATTTGAAACCGAATGATAGCAGTGTCGTTCAGCTCAACATGTTTTACTTGCATAGGCCAATTTATATCGACTACCGTTCTGGGATTATGTGTCTTTTGCGTAAATAACCGACAACAGTTAGTTTTTGGTTGTGGATCAAGACTAATGATCTAGGATACTGTGGCGATGATGATGAACACATCAGAGATCAAAAAGACATCGCTGATCTTTTTAAAAGAATGAGCATTACACAATGTGCTACGTGCATGAACATGTAGTTTCAGAATGGCACAGAACAAACAAGTGAACTGACATTACCTATTCATAAACTATTTATTGAAGAATAAGCAACCAGAATGCACAAAAGATCCACATTAAACGACTCACCTCAGTTGGGGTTTGATGCGAGCTAATCTGTCGAGTGACAAAGCTACAATATCGACTGAGCAATTGCAAAGTGAGTCTCCAGAAACGATGTCTCAGGTTAACAAGATATATCCCATCTTGCCAACAACGTTCCAATTGTGTCATTAGTACGTTAGATACTGTAAGAAGACCTAAAAAAGAGGGACCAGTATCAATAGAAACTAAGAGAGGATTGAGAGTGACGTACCCCTGCCATCATCAGTGTTGCTCTGTGAAGTCGACTGAGCTCCTGTGAGATTTAGTCCCTGACTCATTGCTTCTTCCACATAGCCTGCAATTTCTTGGAATCTGTGAAATGAATCACAAAGTAATCAGGGACGTGAAGTATGTGGCACGAATTATAATAGTGCAAGTGTGTGTGCGTGCTGAAAGAGTCCTTGAGCGAAGACCACTTCAGCGGTATTACAAGAAATAACGACATAAGTGTTAAGTATTAAATTATCTGTAAACGCCATATGCAATACTTGCACAGGGCCTGAACAAGTTTTGACTGCATCGCTTGATTCCTGCACGACAAGTACATAGCCGAACGCCGATTACTTAGGTGTCAGTCGACAAAGAACCCGAGAAGGGACCATATTAAGCTAGAGAAAGTTGACGGCG